TTTGAAATCTTTGATTGTAAAAAGCCTGTATAATTTCATTGCGAAGTGATCTTCTAGAAAAGTAAATAACCACATCTCTTGGTAAATTTCTCTGTTTCGCAATCCATGAATTAACTCTAAAGATTTTTTCAACATCTCTCAACATTACTTCAATTCCACATCCCAAAATGGATGCTAGTTCTGCAGCAATCTCTTCTTTCAAATTCTTTTTCACATTCTCTTTCAACCCTCTTATTCTCAAAGCAAACTCCATGTCTCTGTATTGTGACATTACAATTTCATTCTGTGCTGCATCCACATTATTTTCAACTCTTTCAACTCTTCCTTCCAATATTTCAACATTTCCAACCACCTCATCCACCCTATCATCCAGCCTTTCTACATGGGCCGCAAGCCCCTTAAGAGCCAACAGAATATCTTCCCTCATCTGATGATTTTTCTCCTCCAAAAGCTCTTCTGTCTCAAATCTGATCTTTTGTATAGCTTTCTCCAAAGAATCCTGACCCACATTCTGTATATCTTTAAGTGTGAATGCTGGAGGTGGGGAGGGTGGTGGAGACTTTGGCTTAGTTTGCTGTGTAGTCTGTGTTACTGGAGAGGAACTTTAGGCAGAGAAGAAATTCCAGGGCGTTTTGAAGCCATTTTAAGAAAAAGAAAAAAAAGAGATGAAGAAAAAAGAAAAGAAAAAAGCCAGTTCTTATAGCAAGATAAAATAAAGGAGTAATAAAAACAACTCCCCCCCCCAAAAAAGAAGCAGAATCAGTTATTTTGGAAACTTTGTTGCCAAGTAAAAGTGAAAGTCCTCAAACAAAGAAACAAAATTCCTCCGCCATTTTTCCTTTCACCAATCATTAATATAGTAATTGAAGAAGACAATATTTCTTCATGAGTTAAAGTTAAAATTCAGTCCAATTCAGATCCTCCTGAACAGCTCTGTCTGTTTAAAATTTAATTACAGTCCTTCTTAGTAGCAGATGTGGAAGCAGCGTCTGGCTTCATTCTCCTTCGGAGAACAAAGGTGTCTTGGGGATGCGGAGTTGATCCAGACTCCAAAGGAGCTCTCACCCTTTGTCTCCCCCCAAAAAATCTTTGGGAGACAAGAGAAGCTCAACTTCTATCTGGAAAAAGACTCACTTTCCTCCCTTTGCCTGGGAGGAAAGTTCCAAGCTGCAAAACAGCTGATTGTGGTTGTCTGCCGGCTCTTACACGATCCCGAGACGGACGGCTAAGAAAAAAGCTGCCATCGGTGCAGCAGAGCACCACCGGAAGTCCAACAACTTCCGGTTGTTGTGCCTTTTTCATGATGGTTCTAATGTTAGGAGTCCATTTCAAGTCCTTGGAGAAAATAGAACCCAGAAATGTAAAGGTTTCTACATTTGACACTGTGCTGCCTAATATTCCAAAAAGCGGTATGGTAGGAGACCTTCTCCTAAAATCTACTATCATCTCTACAGTTTTAAGAGTGTTCAGCTCCAGATTGTTCTAGCAGCACCACAGGGCCAGTTGATCTATTTCTCATCTATATGCAGACTCATTATCTCGAATGAGACCAATGACTGTTGTATCATCTGCAAACTTCAGTACTTTAACAGAGGGATCCTTTGAAAAACAGCCATTGGTACAGAGAGAAAAGAATAATGGAGAGAGTTCATAGCCCTGGAGAGCTCCTGTGCTAATTGAATGGGAATTTAATGTGATTTTACCTAGCTTCACCCGCTGCTTCCTATCAGTTAGAAAGCTTATAATCCATCTGCAACTAAACTGACTCAACTAGGCACAGCTAGTTGAGTCAGTTTAGACAGAGGAAAATTTCTGGAATGATGGTGTTGAATGCCAAGCTGAAGTGTACAAAAAGGACCCCTGCATAGGTCTTTGAGGATTCAAGATGTGATAAGATGTAGTGTAGTGTCATATTGACAGCATTATCTACCAATCTGTTTGCACGGTAGCAAATTGCAAGGGGTCTAGCAGTGGATCAGTGATGGCTTTCAGGTGGGCCAGCACTAACCTTTCGAAGATTTTCATAACTACAGATATCAAAGTAACTGGTCTGCAGTCATTCAGCTCCCTGGTGCTTTCTTGGCACGGGGATGATAGTAGAACGTTTGAAGCAAGAAGGGACATAATACATCTCCAGTGATTTATTAAAGATGTGGGTGAAGATGGGGGCCAGTTAAACAGCACAAACTTTCAAGCAGGAAGGAGTTACCCTGTCTGGGCCTGGTACTTTTCCAGGCTTTTGCTTTTATATGTGCATATATATTTATATATACACGACACCAACACTTATATAAATGAGTGTGTCTGTATGATTGAAGTTAAATTTATGTATGCAGAGTTAACTGACTAAGATGTGCATACATGCAGGCATAAGAACAGTTTTTTAACATTAAAAAATAATTCTTGCAGTTTCCCATTTTTTTTCCTGAAGAAGGTCTGCTACTGCTCCTATTATAGGTCTTTCTCAATGGCTTAGTGGTTATAATATTTGATACATAGAAGGTTCTTGTTTCAAAAGCTGGTAGAGTATTTTTTTAAATAACTATTTTTATTTTTCTGAACTATTTTTTTGTTATCAGTGTACTGTTTTTTTTCTAGTCACCTGACATAATGGTTTCATCAGCAGCTTCCCAATAATCCACAGGTTCAAATTAATAGATTCTGCATTTAATACCAATTTCCTTTCCAACCAATATATACATTATTTGGATCCAAAGTAGGTATACTTGCTGAATCTGTTAACAGCTTTTTCTTGGGTTACACTATAGCCAGTTGGCTCAGGAAAATATGTATTTGAGACAGTGACAGAAATGCTATATTTCTAATGCACATGGCTATCATGTAAGGTCAAGAAAAATTCCTACTTCATTCAAGAAGTAGCTGGTAAATACAGAAACACTACCTATGTCAGCTCCAAATCCTGCCTGTCTTTTTTACCTTTATTTTTAAGATTCTGGGTCAGCCCCTAAATTTAAAAAGTAGCACAATCCTCTATTTCCAGTCATTTCTCCACTAATCACTTATAACATCCTCTAACCATTGTTGACAAAACCTATTTTCATTAGGGCTGTATCAGCACATTGATGGTTGGATGACTCTGCAATAAGGTTACTTATAATCTGGGGATCAGTATCAGGCAAATCCATGCTGTTACTCCAGCAATCAGTAAATCAGAAAGTTGTTTAGACTCAAAAAAAAAAAAAAGAAAGCTTCAAAATCTAGAATTCAATATTATGTCTGTTTTGTAGGAAAAATAAAACTGCAATCAACCAGTGTGATAAAGGATGTAATGCTTTGAAGGCTGTTCCTGATTATTTCTGTAGGTATGGTCATGGCCACAAAACTTTCATCAGACTATCAAGAAAGCAATGGTTATATTTGCACATACATAGACAAATACTGAGAACACAAAACAGCTTTCAAACCAACTGGCAAGCTTTCCAAATGATGTTGCTGCTCTAATGGTTCAAGAGAGGTGTTTCATCTACAATTAAGTTTTGCAAAGCATCTCTTTCAGATACTTTGCATAGTCCTTTGATTCTCCCCAGTCACCCTTTTTTCTGACGCTAATGGATTACCTGGGTCTCAATGAGTCTCTCAGGCTGGTGACCTCCTCCATCCACTTGGAGAGGTCCAGCCCAGGAAGAGCCCCAGTGGATGCTTCCCCCCAAAATTCAGCTTCCTTCTGGTCACTAAGCTCACATTTCTTGCACGGTCCCCATGGTAGGTCTAGGTGCTTCTCCGGGTGGACCGATTTTGCAGATTCCATCTAATGTAAGGATCTGCCCAAGCTAGTCCCTCAGGAAAGCAACATTATTGACTCCATTATGGTTAATCAAAAGAACTTTTACTGATAGTGGTTGCAGAAAATTCAAGCTGAATCTAAGGGTCCCATACAAAGCACAAAGCAATTCTTTCATTTTTCCAAAACCCAACCCCCGTGAGCACTAAGAGTCTGGATGAGAATGATTACTACAAATACCTGGCTATCCTTCAAGCTGACAACATCAAGCACACTGAAGTCAAGAAAAAGATTAGAGATGAATACATCGAGTGAAAAAGATCTTAAAGTCCAAACTCAATGGAGGACTTACCATCAAGTCAATCAACATCTGGGCAATTCCAATATGATGCCAATAGTGATGTGAGAATACTGAGGTGCTGGGGAGATAATGGGTCACTCTCAGGGCATAACAGCCTTGGAACCAGGCTGGAACTGCCTAAGACCATTTCTTCTCCAAAGACAGTCCCCCTCCCTAATTCCCAAGCAGTTACAGCAAAAGCATGCAAGGAATGCCACAGTCTTCCTTCCCCCTCCCTCCAACAGAATGGCAGGACACCTGCATGATGGACCTGACACCTACACTTTGTACAGTAATGTGAAAACATCCTTATAAATCTCCACAATTTGATATGCCCCACAAATCAAATCAAAAGCGATTAGATCAGTCAGCATAAAATAAACCTTTGCAGTCATGGATCTGACCATATTTGACTATGTAGGACATACGGGGAAGATACTAAAACCAGTTTGCAAGAAAAAAGTGAGCAGTCAGATGAGAAGACCCAAACCCATTAGTAGCCTCATGTTGCAATGAACAAGGATATACATTCAGTTTCACAGCTACTAAGATAGTTGCCTGAGCAGGTATAAAGATAGTCAGGGAAATTATTGAAGCACAGGAATGCTGATTTAGTATCAGCTTATCAGGGACTTAGGAACTGAGGACTTGGCAGTACAAGAAAACAACAGCCAATGACTTAATAAGTGGCCATCAATACCCCAATCAATCAATAAGAAGCCACACCCAATCAGGCATCACATAAACACTGAAATCACACTTTCTGGTAGAGAGAAGTTCCCTGAGGATGAGTCTGAAAGCTTGGAAGACTAAATCTCTGGTCCCAGTGACCAACCCAGATTGGATCCTGCAGCATTATACTGGGACACATATATTTGCCTTCATCCCTGAGCATGTTTGGTTGTAACATATGACTTCTTTTTTATCTTATATCCACCTAGCACCATGTAGCCACTGTCAAAAAAACACACTACATCGACTTCACTTATCCATCTCTTACATTGACTTGCTCTCTTGCTTATTATTGCTCTCTTGCTCTACTGCTCATATCCTCTTCAAATGGTGAGAGCTGTCTATAGGTGTGGGCAGATGGGCTGCCTATTTCAGCCACATTCTATCATCCAAGCTGCCTATTGAGGTAATCTCTAAAGGTATTTGTGTTTATTGTGTAGTTTTTTGATGACACAAAGGAAGTGTAGATACAGTAGATCTAGGCTGAGGTTGATGGTGAAATGAAAGTTGTTGAAATCATGATGCAATTTGATAGATTAATTGATACTGAATGCCAATGCATTTTATCAGTCACTGGGTGATAGTTCCCTAATTACATACAGACAACTACCCAATCTGAAGCAAATTTTCAGAAAGAACAAGAAGACCTGCTTTGTAAAAATGATCCTTAACACCATTAGGTTGAGAAACATATAGTGTACTAGAAGCCAAGTGAAATACAGTAGTGCAACGCTGGAACTGAAATTCACGCACCGAAATCCCAAGTGTAACTTTTCCCTCCCAAAAGTGCTTCCCATAGTTAGTCTCCTTATGTCTAATCAAATTTAAATGAGATGCTTTTAGAGTGGCCTCCTGAAGAATGTAGCTGCACTTTGTTCTGAAACAGTTGACCTTGAGACTGCACTTAGAAAGGAACAATGAACTTTCACCCCTGCCATCTGACCCTCAGAGTCTATGTCAGGCTGGCCTCGAAAGAAGTTCTTGAAGTGTAGTAGTGGAGTATTGAGGTGGCATATGACATTCTGCCCCTCTTGAGAAAATGGATTAATCCTGTAATTAAAAAAAAAAGAGAGAGATGTTAGTAACTGGGAGAGTGAACAGAAATTACAATAAGATTTGTTTGGATAACAGTTGTGAAATTTGCATAACAGCTTTGGGGCTCACACATGTTGGCAGCCACCCATTCAGCTTTGGATGAGCGGAAAAGTTTCCATGCAATTAAGTATTGGAGCTTGCCTCTGCAGATGCATGAATCAAGGATTTCTTTTACTTCAGAGTGTTGTTAGCCCTCAATGAAGTCAGGAGGAGGTCAGGATTTTGCTGGTGGACGTAAAGGTGAGGTTTTTGCTGGTTTTAGTAAGCTACAGTAGAAGACTGGATGTAGTCTTCTTGAGGTTCTTTGGTAATTTCAGTACAACAATGACTGGATTGATGATCCTAATTAAGGGGAAATGACCTATGTATTTAGGTCTTAGTATTTTTATTTTTTATTTTAGACCAAAAAAACAAAACAAAGCACAACAAACATTACACACATACACACGTAATATATCCTTGTTAACAGCAACTTGTAACAGTACTCTTCTATTCTTTACATTCCCCCCCTCTTTCTTCTTTGAAATATTTGTCCTTATTGCCCCATTGTTTCTTATTTACATTTTCTTCTTTCATATTCTACTACTTACTAGGAATCCAACATTATTCATTGTAATAACATTCATATTTTTTATAAGACTCGACCGGAATTCCATCTAAGCATGGTGATCATACAAATATTCTCGTATTATTTAGTGCATATACTGTTTTTACTCTAATACTATTTCCAACATTAAAATTCACCCCTTTCCATCCAAGTATATTTATTTAATTTTATTTTTCTTTGACATATATAATAATTCCTTTCTTGTTTTATGCTAATATTGTGTATAATGTTTCTAAATTTTACTTTCTCTAGTAATTTTCTATAAACCTATTTTATGTAAACTTCCTAAAGATATATCTTATCTACATCCAATTTCCTTGGATTGTTAAACGTCTAAACTCTTTTTCTTGATATATTTAATCCTTTAATATTTATACAAAAGAGCTTAATTACGTCTCCCATTTTTAACTTGATCTATTTTTTTGTTTTTATTTTGTTTTATACTTTTTATCTCTATAAGTCTTCCTTTTACTTCTCTTTCTAACCTTTCTCTTTCTTGTAACTTTTGTATTTCTCGCTCTCGATCAACTTCCTCTAATAGATCTTCATCATAACTTTTACACTCCGGCTCTTCCCTACTTTCTTGTTCTTCTCCTTGTGAAAAGTAACTCTCATAAAAGTCCCGTGCTTTCTCAAGTGTATCTATCTTGTATTTTTTCTCCTGCCAAGTTAAAAGTATGCCTTCAGGTTGCTTTTCTTCTCATGGGCAAGTGGGGGGGGGAGGCGGTTAGAAAGCCGCTTTTCCTGGAGCCAAGGAAAAGGGATTCCCCGCTCCCCTTTTCCTTGCCCTCCCTCCCCCACCTTTTCTTTCTCTGCCCCTCGGTCGTGCACCTGGTTTGTCCCCATTCGCAATATTCCTCAATGGAAATGGATCTAATAGACGAGGGAGAGCGTGTGCTCATATGCGGTGTCAATAATGAGGGCTGGTGCAGCGGTGTCTATGGCTGCTCCCTGTGTGTCTCCAAGCCCCTAACTAACATTAATGCAGGAATCAAAGGGCAGTGGCGGCGGCAGTGCTCGCAGCTCACACACAGGCTGGGGAGGGAGAAAAGGAGAGAGAGAGAGAGAGAGAGAGGAGACGAGACACACACGCACACAAGGCAGAGCTAAGAAGGAAGGTGCCCCCAGGGCCCGGCTCTTAGGCTGTACTTTACACACCGAACTGCGAGCGCTCTTCCTCGTGAGGTTCAAGGGGGGACAAAGGCTGTCGCCGCCAGGATGTGCCCCCATTTTTTCCTCTTAGAATCGTTGGGGGAAGGAATGGGAGGGGGAGTCCCACATCGATTGCAAAATAAAATGGTCTGAGAAATATTATAAAGATCAAGTTGGTGCGATAATATTTTGGGCGTGGAGAAAGGAAAGTGGTCACATAACTAAACTGAATTACGCCAAGTAGGTATGCAAATAGAGTCCTCTTTAATAAATCAAAGCGTCGGAGGAGGCAAGCATAAGAACATTAACGTTTTAATTTCTTGATGTAAAGAATGGAAGTGGAGGGGGGTGGAGCAAGATTAGGTCAGCCTTAATAATTGATTCTGGAGTACACTCACATTGACTTCTGAGTTTATAATTTATTTCTGCATAAATGCGGGTTTTGAAAAAACCTTATTGAAACCTTCCCACTGAATAGCACGAAGCCGGGATTGCAGTTATTAATAGATATGGGGCTTTCATTGCCGTACAAAACCATACATTTTTCTATCAAGACAAACATGAAAAGAGGATGGGTGCGGGTGGAGGAATGAAGAAAGGGTTGAATCCCCTGCCAGGGAAGCAGCACCTTTTGGGACGGGTTCTGAGCAATTGCATGCTTCGGGGAAGGAGCTTCCCTGGCAGAAGCTGAGTTTGCAAGCCTCGTTGGCAAGCCAAGAAAACTGAAGGTCTGGAGGGTTCCCTCCTGCTTTCGGGGTTTTTCTCGTCTGCCCGCCCGGGTTGAGAGCCTGTGCCTCCCCTTCTCCTGCGGCTGGGAAAGAGGGCCGGCCCCGAGCCTGTCCTGGAGGACTTTTTAGTCCCCGGATACCCCCACCCCCTCCCCCATCAGCCCAGGACCAGGCACTGCAGCTCTGCATCAGGAAGGAATCCTCCGGACCTTTGGTTTTCCCGACTTGCCAATGAGGCTTGCAAACTCGGCTCCTGCCAGGGAAGCAGCACTTTTTGCGACGGGCTCTGAGCAATTGCATGCTTCGGGGAAGGAGCACGGAGGCAGGCAGGCAGGCGCTGGGCAGCACAAACTAAGCGGCGATCAAAACCCCGAAACCTTTTGCGTTCCTTTGTAAAGAAGCAGTGAAAGTCGGTCCAGCTGGTCGTTGGGGTGTGGAACTGGGCTGCGGACACCAGGCCTTACTCACCGGCAAAGCTGGAGCCTCCCACACCAACCAGTAGGTCGTCCGTGCTGCTCCACTCGGACCGCCGGCTTCTTGCTAAAGGGCTGTCTCCCTCCGGAGCTGTCTTTCTCCCTCCCTCCCGTTTATGTCGAGCCCATGGCGAACAGCATCCCACAAACCAAAGAAGTTGAACCAATCAATTCAAACTTCTTTCGTGAGAAGTTTGAATTGATTGGTTCAACTTTTTTAGTCCTATTTTTTTTTGGCACTGCACGTGGTTGGGAGCCACAGGAGACAGCTGAAAGAGCCGCATGCGGCTCCGGAGCCGCGGGTTGCCGACCCGTGCACTAGCCAAACTGTTCCTATAGCATGTTTATCATTTACCTGGTGCCCCTCAATACATCATCTCAGACGGGGGTGGAATTCACCTTCAAATTTTGGTGAGCCTTTTAAACCCTCCTTGGTACCGACCAGGGGCTTAGTTCCAGTTACCACCCCCACACGATTGGGGTGTGTGAACATGCAAACTCAGTACTGGAACAATACTACATTAGCTACCAACAAGATATTGGACTAACCTATTGCCTTTTGCAGAGATGACATATAATAACTCAGTTCATAGCAGCACTCCTAGCATTACTCCTTTCAGGGTGGCTTCAGGACAGGATTTTAGCCGCTACAATGTATCCTCTCAGCTTTCCTCTATCTGCCTGTTCTTTGATCTATTTCCCTTACTGCCAGCCTGGAGTGAGAATGGATGTGTCTCCGGCTATCTGCTTTATCTCTAGCTGTGGAAGAACAGGCGCGAAGACCTAACAGCCTAACAACCTTGGGAACGGCATCTTATCAACCCCATTCCCACAGCGGGTTCACACCTGGAGATTGGCCCATCTGAACTGACCAGATAGACTATTGGGGTGGGGTTTGCCAGTTGCTCCTATAACCTATTGATTTGCATGGGAAACCCTCAGATCCTGCCTTTTATGCCTGCTGTCAACTTCTCCTAATAAAAGTTCCTTTTGGAATGAAGCTGTTCCAGGAGTTCTGCTTTCTTGGGAAGAGGGATTGAGGCAGGTCCTTACATCAAGTGACTAAATTGGTAGACTAGCGAACCACTGTGGACACTATATAATTTTGATGACTTCATTATGGCCCTCAGACAGCAGTTTGAGGACCTGCTAGCTGAACAGAAGGTGAAAAGAAGGATCAGAACCATAAAGCAAATTATGTAACTTCTCTGCATCTTCATCATGGAGTGTTACCCCCCAAATCAGTTGTCTCTCCTTTCAAGGTCATTGTGACACACCATATTCTAGCCTCATAGTTCGAGCTGTGTTCTGACATGAAATTCCAACTTGGGTTAGGAAATACTCCAATTGTTTTGCCTTGCCATCAAATTTTATTCTTTTTTTTTAAATACGTTTTATTAGTTTTTCAAGTTTTTACATCCAGGTGCTTAGGAAGCAGCGTGGTGATAGGGTAATCAATAATCCAATAACAAAATCATTCATGTATATCTCAGACTACATCTATAAAGATTCCCTCTCTAGTTCTCTTAAATATTATATCGTGTTCATTTTAATACATTTCTAACTAAAACTCAATCAGTCAATACATTTATCAATGACATTTTACTTATACATATCCAAATCCTGTTTTTAAGTTTTGCTTAATTCCAATTTCATGTTTCAATTTAGCCTTTTATAACCAATAGTCTTAATTTCCCTCATTTCATTATAAGATACTTAACATAACTAGAATAGACATGTTCCAAAATTTACCTTACTTTGTTCACAAATATATTCTATTTCATTTACTAACAAAAATCTTCCATTATCACAAATGTATTTCCATCTGACAATCAAAACTATAATCTAACAATTAATTTTAATTTCCCTTATAAGTCTTAATCCTGGATATTAAACCAATCACTCCAAAGAGCTACTTAGCCCATTAAGTAAATTTTTAAATCCCATTTTTAAATCTAACTCTGGCTTTCTTTTTGTGCCAGGCAGGCTTCCATA